ATTTATTTGAGAGAGAGAGAGAGAAACAGCATGAGAGGGGATAGGGTCAGAGGGAGAAGCAGGCTCCCTGCTGAGCCGGGAGCCCAATGCAGGACTCGATCCCAGGACTCCGGGATCATGGCCCGAGCCGAAGGCAGTCGCTCAACCAACTGAGCCACCCAGGCGCCCCTAGAGCAGAATTTTCTATGGGCCTGCGCTAGACTGAGCCACGTCATTAGACGGGCAGTTTTCAGAATGCTGTGCATCCCGTGATCGCCAAGCTTGTGGTCAGGCTGGTGATCCTGAGCAGGAAACAGAGCAGTGGGGATGCAGCCTGGCCCCCAGGGCTGGCAGACGGTTAATCCCAGGGGACCCCAGCATGGGTGCAGCTGCTTGGTAATTGATACCTAGATCAAGGTGAGGTGATGCATCTGAGCAAGCGGAACCTCCACGCTCAAGAAAGACTACAGGCTTCAGAGTAAAGCAACGTACTTCAAATGTTCGCCCTGCCATCGCCAGCTGGGGGACCTAGAAAGAATGACCCAACTTCCCTGAGCCTCAGAGTCCACAACAGCATGCAGGGTTAACACCACCAGCGTCATGGGGTTGATGACAAAAGTAAATGAGATAGCATAGGGAAGGCATGGAACACAGGTGGGCACACGCCGCGTGCTTGGTGTACCGCGGCAGCATCTGGGTTGGGGTAAGTGGTGGGGGCCCGTCTCCATCCTCTTCAGCAGGTGTTTAGGCTCAGAGGCTCTGCGATGAATTCCCCCTTTGGATGCACCGGCTGCCTCACACCATGAGACCAGCCTTTCCTCAGTCTGAAATAATGGGACTCCAGAATGGGGCAATGGGACACTGAAGCAAGATGTGTGTTCTGTCTGATTCAGTGCCATGCACATGAGCATTCCTGCTTCTCAAAGAGGGGAAGAACTGCCCGATAGTATCCACTTACACCAACCGGGGCTCCAGAAAACCTACAAATGGGGACTATATCTGGCACTTCTCCTTTATCTCCCACCTGACTCCCCACTCCAAACTTGTGCCCAGAAGGAAGCTAGGAGCCCTGGAACCTTCCGGAAGCCCTGGTCACCATGGAGAAATTCATTCTCAGATGGCCTGATTCCAGTGGGGCCATGGGCTGTGAATGCCTTCTGGGGGAGGCAGAACAAGAGGCAGAAAGACACTACCACCCTCTGACATCCTCCATACTCCACGGATTCGATCTCCTGCCAACAGGTCCACTTCCCAAGAGAAGGGCTTTATATCGGTTTTGCTCACTGCTGTGTCCCATGTGCCCAGACCCATGTCCAGCACATGCTGGAGCACCTGTCAACATACGATGCATATGAGAAAGTCCCAGTTACCTGGTTTCATTTTTCATTCTCCAGCCATCTCGACACTTGTGGAACCAGAGCTCTTGGCCAGGGGAGATGCTGGTGTTCTCTAAGTCTTGCACACAAAAAGTTAATCTAGGAGAAAAAAGAAACCACCCATGTAGCCAAAACTCTAGTGGGGGAGGCACATGGCTTGCCTCAGCCAGATGGTGCTTTCTGAATCCAACGTGGACCTAGCAAGGAGAAAAGGGCGTCTTCATCATACCACACCCTGACCCAAACCTTCGGAACTCCCCGCTGCTGCTACAAGGGTCCTAAACGTGTCTCGCTCGGACATCTGCCATGATCTGGTTCATGCAGATTTTCATCACACCCCTTCCACTTTCTTCTGTCTGTCCATCCAAAAGTCTGCCTACCTTTCAAGGCATAGCCTGTCTGAAGCCTCCCTGACTGCCCAAGCCCTTGACCTTAATAGAAAAGCATATTGTTATACAAGTGTTGTTTTTGCTATTGTCATTACCTTGTATGGTATGGAGTTAGTAATGAATGTCTTGTCTTATTTTAACACATTATACACTGCCTTGAATTGCTCATGGATTCCCATACCTGTGGTGGGCTACACACTCCTCAAATGGAGGAATTCAAGGTACCTCCATTAGGGTGCTCAGAAATACCCACTGATAAGCATAACCGGAATTCAGCTGTGGGTCAAAATCAAAGATTCAGAAAATGCTCAACCAAGATCATGGAAAAAAATCAGTACTCAGATAACCATTTCGACTATAACTTAGAGCCAAACCATGTGGACCTTGATGGTGTGTAGTTAGCATGACCCCATGACCAAAAGACGTATATGGGACACCTGACCCTGATGTATGGGATGTGCTGACTGAAGGGACAAAAGCCACATTCAGAACAGGTTTAAGAACCTTAACCAGGAAGACCAAACAGCCCACAAACATATAAGAAGGGGACCCACCTCATGGAGATCAGGAAATTAAAACACATTAACACAACAGTAAGGGACCAATTCACACCCAATGGTGAGAGTGTCCCACCAAGTGGAGGTGAGGAGGAGGGAAAGGAGACTCTTACTCTTAGATTGTCAATTTGTCTAAACACTTTGGAAGGAGATTTAATAATATGTGGTCGCGCTGGAGAACACGTTTACTGTAACCCCGTGACAGGGGAAGGGTGCCAAAGGGCTTCAGCTCCCCCAATTCCCAGGTTTCTAGGCCAGAATCTCTCAGACAAGGGACCCAAGCCTCCCTACCCCCTCGGCCACTCTGTGCCACAGGTGATGGATAGAAACGGGCCACATGAAGAACTGTGATGGAGACAAAAAACCAGACTAGGTACAGAGAGGGTGGAGGCTGCTTCCTCTCATGCCCAGGCTGGCAGTGACCTCCCAGCAGCCCACAGCCAGATGTGGCCAAGGAAACCCTCCTCTCTTGACAAAAGACCGGCTTCCCTGACTTCTGCTCAGAGAGTCCAGGCACGGTTTCAGGGGCTGATACATATAGGTCTGGAGTTCTCGTGCCAGGCTGAAGGTTAGAAACCATGGGGGACTGCGAGCTGGCGTAGTAGAGGATTCTCTGTTACTTGACATCAGGGCCCCACCCCATAACCTTGACTCACAGCCTCCGCAGGAAGGATATAATGCTCTGAAAATCAGGTGCTGGGGAAACCAGGGCCTCAGGCAGGCCTCATCCATGGGGGTTTCCTAGGCTCAATACTCGAGTTTTCTCTGGACAGGGGCAGGCAAAGATGTTGGCTGCCCAGACCCCATAGCAAATGGATCAGCAAGGCAGTGCCCCTAAGGAGGAGCCCTCCTTCCTCTGGGCCAACACAGGGTCTGGCAAACACAACCGAGGCTGGCCTCCAGCCTGCACTTTGCCCACCCCCCTCAGCTGAGGGCCCGGAATCAGGACACAAGCTATACAATGGTTGACAGAGGTCTCCACGGAGAATTCACTTTCCCTTACAGAAGTGTCTGCGGTGTTGCCCATGTGCTGTGGGCACGGCAAGGCTGGAGATGCCTGCTCGGCAAAGGGGAGGACGCGGCGGAGGCAGGCGCGCTCTGCTCCCCATTGACACGAGGCCCTTACCTCCGCTGAGTTTCCCCCGACTTGACCCGGATGCGCCTGATACTCAGTTCCCTCTCAGCGCTGTGGGGCTGAGACAGGTAGCTGCGAAGCTCCTTCCACAGGTTGTACCAGGACTGAGCTGTCCCCTCCCAGGTGAGTTTGATCTTCAGGAGGTCTCCCAGGTCCTCCTCGGTGTAGACCAGGAAGGTGTTGGTGGCGTTCAGCCCGATCTGCTCCACTCTGCGAGGGGACATGGGGCAGGTGTCACCCACCTGCCCCCGCAAAATTGCCCCGCAGTGACTGCAGACAAATGGGCCCACAGACACTGGTCTCCCTCTGAACTCCCAGCCCCTTCCTGCCTATCCCCCTCATTTGACACTTGGGGGGTCTGTCCCACCCCGTTCGTGTGCATACACACCTGGTCCCCCAAGGAAGGTGTGTATGACCTGAGCCCTAGGAAGCGAGTACTTTACGACATTACTTTGCAATCCCAGAATTACTTGGCATGGCGCTTTGCACCTTGCATGCGTTCAACAAACAGACACCGATTGCTATGTGCCCTTCCCACAGACAATTAGAAACGGTGCAGGAATGGCATTTATGTTCCAAATTTCCTACAGCCTCAGGTGTCAGGCGTTGCCTGAAATGAAACAGTAGTCTCTGTCCAGATGATCCAAAAGCTTCTCATGCTGCTGATTCATCCAGGGGCATCCGTCCCAGAAAGGGTCTGAGTCAAGGGCTTGGTGGAGAGCGTGGCCCACAGATGCCTCTGGAGCCGCCCAGCCCCTCCCGTAGGCCCTCAGGCTGCACTCCCCTGCACTTGTTCACACATTCCCACACTCGCTCAATCTTAGACTGACTTGTTCTGGGTCCTGAACCCATCAAAGGGAGCGTGTGACTTACATTTCCAAAGGCAGAAGCTGGGAGTCTGCGCTGGTACCATAAAGGGTGACATAAAAGTTGGGTTCAATTTCTCCCATCGTCTTGTAGCTGAAGATATGGATTTTCATCTGATAATGGTAAACTGCAGAGATAGCGGAACAAAGGCCTTTGTGAGCTTTGCTGGCCATCTCAGGACACCCCAACTCAAACTGAGTCACCCAGCACATTGAGTTTTTAGGGGCTGATGTCCCTTTGGTCCAGCCCAGCCTCCAGCCTCCCTCTGCTCTTGCTCAGTCCAATGGCGTAAGGGATCACTGCAGTATCGAACTGAGCCCCAAACGTGGAGTTCAGGGAATTTGGGGAGGGGGGCAGTTCCAGCTTAGCTGTGCGACCTTGAATGAAGGACCAAGGTATTAACTCTTTGAACCCCAGCTTCGTCATATGTAAAATAACACCCACAAACCCCTATGGTCTTAGAGCATGTTGTAAGAATGCAAGACATGATTTTGCTTCCCTGTTGGTCCAATCCAGATGTGTTGTGACACTCAAATGAGAAAAATAGGAAATAGCTTTGCAAAAGGCAAATGCAAAGAAATGAAAAATGAGGGGAAGAATGAAGGGGGGGAAATCGGAGGGGTAGACGAACCATGAGAGACGATGGACTCTGAAAAACAAACTGAGGGTTCT